GAGAGAGAGAGAGAGAGAGAGAGAGAGAGAGAGAGAGAGAGAGAGAGAGATGAGCGATACAAGTTTGGTTGTCACTTACCTGTGAAGCGAGCTGTGCAGTTCCACGTGGAGGAGGAAGAAGCGGCCATAGCCGCGAAGTGTTACCACGGAGTAACGAAGGAGGGTGAGAGAGGACAGACGGAGAGAGACTGAGCGGGAAGAGAAGGAGGCCATAGCCGAGAGGTGAAGAGAGGGCCGATCAAAAAAAAAAAAAAAAAAAAAAAAAAAAAAAAAAAAAAAAAAGGGGGGAAAAATTGGGGGAAAAAAAAAAAAAAAAAAAAAAAAAAAAAAGGAGGAAGACAGCCGGGGTGAAAGGAGGTGAGGAAGGTGAAAAGACGAAGAGGGTTGGGGAGGAAGAGGAGCCGGCAGCCATAGCTGACCGAAGGGTTGACCGAGAGAGTTGACCGGCGTTGACCAGAGTTGACCGTGGGTTGACCGGGGGTTGACCGCACCGTTGACCGGCGTTGACCAAGACTTGACCAAGCTGGAGTTGGTAACATCTCGCCAAGCCTTCAGCCTGTCCCTCGCCCTATGGATGTGCACACACCCCTTGGTACTTGCTGAGTCCAGTCTGTCTGTCTATTCTTTCTGCATCGAGTCTCTTCTGTCCTAGGTGATAGTACTCTGTGGATGAAGGATAGGGTCTTGTTGACCAAACCCACACGGGATGAGTAGGGCTTATTGTTGTGTCTGACGACTCGACTGTCCCGGAGGTCAAACCCTCCCAAGGACCGGTACTGACCGGCAGGCTGCTCGGTGTGGCACGGTAGGCCTCGAAATCCGAGTTGTGGGCTGCACAACAGACCGCCTAAGTCTTGAGAGACCTGCTGATCGCGTCGTCCTGACTGCGACGTTAAATAATTCCTGAGGAGTTCAGGGGATCTCCTTAAATGCCTTCTGATCAGCAACAGGTTTAGTAGTGACAACCATAGTTTAGGTCTAGGCTAGAGACCATAGTTGGCAGGATCCTTGTCAGGATTCTGTGAGTGTTCAGATTGAGTCAGTAGGGTTGTCAGTCAGGGGTTAGAGTTTAAGTGGTGAGGAGTGGAATCGTTCTGATTGTGCACCTATCACCATGGTTGAGACCCATAGTGGGATAGACACTAGCCCCTACACCAAGGAGCAGCAAGAAAAGATGGCCGCCTTAGTGAGAGAAAACAACGAGAGGAAAGAGCGCGAGAAGCAGGCAAAGTTAAAGGCTATCGCAGAGGAGCAGGCGGCCAAGATGAAGGAATTGGAGGAGGAGATGGAAAAAAAGAAGAAGGTTGCTGAAGAAGAAGCGGCAGCAAAAGAAGAAAAAGAGAGAATGCGTATTGAGAGTAGAGAGGGGAGTAGTGGCACGAAGAGAGATACAGACGCAGAGATGGAGAGGAGAATAAGTGAGTGGGTTGCTAATTTATCGTTGGGAGAAGATGAGGAGGCAGAGTCCTATGTGACTCAGGATGAGAGGGAAGCGCTGGCCAATGAGCTAGCACCAATGGCAGATCCTATGGAACGGTGAGAAAGGGAGGAGGAGCACAAATTGGCATGGAAGCTGAGGATGAAGAGGGAGAAGAAGAGGAGGAGAGAGGAGGTGAACAAACTGACCACAGAGGTGGCAAAGGTGCAGGAGTGTAGAAAGGAAGTGTTGGCCCAGCCAGATGACAAGGCCGAGTGGGATAAGGTATTGGGGTACCTACAGGTGTTGAGCAAAGCCTGGATGGAGGAGCGCTAGGCCAGTTGGAGCCAAGACGTAGCTTTGAGTGCCATGCGGTCAGGGTTTAGGGAGTTTGCGCGCGAGATAGTCACCCACATTGGGGGCGAAGTCAAGCAGTTGAGAGACAATGTGGGGAAGTTTTGTGAGGGCGCTATTGAGGGCGCCAAAGCAATAGTCGTTGTAGAGGGCGAGGCTAGACCCCGTAAAGAACCTGTAAAGCTCAAGTTCCCAGACGCGTACGGGGGAAAGAAGGAGGAAAACTTTGACAACTGGGAAGCCAGTGTCAACAGTTACATATATCTACAACACATCTTAATTGAGGAGCATGTCCTCGTCGCTTTCCAGGCCCTCAAAGATGAAGCGACCAATTTCGCTAGGTCCCTTGCGCGCGCAGCCGGTTGTGAGAACAACCTGGTTGCTTACTCCAAAGTCACCCCCCTTCCTCAGTTCTTTAAGCTCCTGAAGGAGCGGTTCGCTGACCCAACGAGAGGTGTTCGCGCCTCTGATAAGTTACAGACGATCCACTCACGATAGTGGAGGAGTGCAAGGGCACTCAAGGGTACAATGGACGACTTGGTAGTCGTCCCAGACCATGGGGTCACTGAGCCCCAATTGGTTCAATTATTTTATCGTGCCATGCTTTAGGCCCTACGTGAGCATTTCTTTGACAAGTCTCAACAGGCCGGCATCACCTATGATGCATTGAGTAGAGAAGTCGTCATGTATGAGTCGAAGTCCATGCCAGTTACCATTTTCTGGCACAGGGACTTAGATAAGGGAAAGAAATGGAAAGGCCGTACCATCTCAGGCCAGGTGAGGGCCAAGGATCACATGATCCTTACGTTAGAGGAAGGTAGTACTGATGAGGTCCCATACAGTCAGATTGAGTGGGGCCTCGAGGAAGAGGATTGTAGTGTGGGACAGGGGAGGTCTTATGCTGCTGTCGCGACTGGAGGGAGGCCGCAAGGTAGAGGGGGAGGCCAGGGCCAAAGGGGCCAGGCCATGGGAGGCCGAGGACCGGGCGCACAGGGGGTTGGCGGACAGGGAAACCGCCAAGTGGGAGGTAGGGGCCAAGGTCCCCCGCCAAATCGCCAAGGTTCAAATCGCTCCCCACAGCAAAGAGGTCGAAGGGCACCTCAAGGAGGATGGCACTCAGGCTTGCCACAGGGCAGGCCCTGGGAAGATTTGGGCTTGGACCAGCGCGTATGGCAGGAACGCGTGAACCTGGGTCAGTGCGTATTTTGTGGTGACCCGGCCCACGTAATTAAATATTGTCCACAGTATAGACAGGCCCGTTGGGCTGCCCCGTAGTCAAAAGGCTGAGCGCGTGCGAACAGGACACTCCCAACCCATATGATCCTATGGCAGAGGTTGCAGGCCCGTGCCTAGCCAGCTGTCCAGAGACCGCCTGTGTTAGTGTCTCTTTAGGCACGTCCCTCACAGGTGTGGCAGAAGAGTTAAAGGAGAGGATGCCAGTCTGGGCCAAGATGAAGAAAGAGAGCAAAGGACAGCTGATCTTGGTAGATGTAGAATTTTTCAGGAGTATAGTAGGGGCCCTTATAGACTCAGGGGCCACCAACAGTTATATTAGCCGTAGAGCGCTGAAAAAGTTTAGGCTAGGATTAAAAGTCCAGAAATTGGCAGACCCCATAGTCATTGTCCTAGCAGACAACCGCACAATGCGTGTTGAGGACTATGTAGACGGAGTCCAGGCGTACTTTCGCCTAGAGAAGGATGGGAATGTGGAGAAAGTTCTCCATTCCCTGACTCTCCTCGTACAGGATGACCTTCCCTTCGACGTAGTGTTGGGAATGGATTGGGGAGAGGCAGCAGGGGCCACACTCCATTTGAGAGAGCATGAGTGTAGGCTCCCTAACCCGTTAGGCGAGGTTAAGACTGCCCGCCTGTTTTATGTGCCAGGAGTAGACAACATCTTGGCACATTGCTATCTCAGTGCTCCCGTGTTTGCACTGAAGAAGGAACAGTTAGAGGACCAGGTCTTTGTAGTTTATGTTAGACCCGTCACTTAGGCCAAGGAAAATGATAGTTCCACAGATCCAACCATTGCCAAGCTGTTGGAGGAGTTCAAATACTTGACTAAGTCGCCGACAGGAGTAGTGTCGCGACCCATCCAGCACAGGATAGAGATAGAGCCTGGCAGTAGAACTCGTAAGGGTGCGGTTTACAGGATGTCCCCTAGGGAGTTAGAGGAGTTGCGCAAGCAGTTAGACGAGTTCCTCGAGAAAGGTTGGATCAGGACCAGTTCGTCTCCTTTTGGAGTACCAATTTTATTTGTCCCCAAAAAGGAAGGAGAGCTTCGTATGTGTATAGACTATAGGGGTTTGAACGCGATTACTGTGAAGAATGTCGAGCCACTGCCCAGGATAGACGATCTTTTAGATCGGGTGCAGGGTTGTAAGTATTTCTCTAAGATAGACTTAAAGTCCAGTTATCATCAGATAGAGGTCCATCCTGATGACCAGTACAAGACTACGTTCCAGACTAGATACGGGCACTATGAGTTTGTAATGATTCCCTTTGGACTAACCAACGCGCCAGCCACTTTTCAGCGTTGTATCAATGACCTGTTTAGACCATGGTTAGACAAGTTTGTGGTAGCCTACCTAGATGACATATTAGTCTTTAGCAAGACCCTCCAAGAGCATCAGGGTCATTTGAGGCAGGTCTTGGAGAAGCTGAGAGAGGCTAACTTCAAGATCAATCCAAAGAAGTGCGAGTGGGACAAGACACAAGTCTTGTACTTGGGCCACGTATTAGACGAAGATGGCATTAAGCCAGAGGACAGCAAGATCGCGGCGATTAGAGACTGGTCGACGCCCCGCACATTGAGAGAGTTGCGGTCGTTCCTAGGCCTAGCTAATTATCATAAAAAGTTCGTCAGAAACTTCTCCACTATCGCCGCTCCCCTGCGCAGGTTGCTTAAGAAAGAGGCAATCTGGCAATGGGACAAAGACTGTGTGTCTGCGCTAAAGAGACTGAAGCGCGCGTTGATAGAGTACCCTGTCCTCAAAGTAGCTGATCCGTCTCTGCCTTTTGTCGTCACCACGGACGCGAGTCAGTATGGGATAGGCACGGTGTTGCAGCAAGACGACGACAATGGCTATAGACCCGTAGAGTTCATGTCCGCGAGGATGCCCTCAGAGAAGGTAGCCATCTCGACGTACGAGAGAGAACTCTACGCTCTCAGGCAGGCCTTCGAGCACTGGAAGCATTACCTGCTTGGGAGGCACTTCAAAGTGTATTCTGACCATGAAATACTCAGATGGTTAAAGACTCGGGCCAAGATGACACCTAAGTTGACTAGGTGGGCCGCGAAGATAGACCAATACGACTTTGAGCTCAAGCCAGTGAAGGGCAAGTACAACGTAGTTGCGGACGCTCTGAGTAGGAGATCAGACTACGTTGGAGCTATAGTAAACTATCTGGATATAGGGAGAGACCTGCAGGAGAAAGTGAAGCAAGCATATGCGCAGGACCCTATCTATAGCGACCTCCTAAAGAGAGTTAGAGAGGCCCCAAAGACTGAGCCATATTACCGCACTACAGACGGRTTGCTGTTTGAGAAGACTAACGTATTTGACCGCCTGTGCGTTCCCAACAACGAAGAGATTCATAGTCTGATCCTAGGGGAATGCCACGATACCGAGGGACATTTCGGTTGGCAAAAGACTTTAGCCAACCTGATGCGTGCGTACACCTGGCCATGAATGAAGAATGACTGCATAGAGTATGTTCCCAGTTGTAAAGTATGCCAACGTAATAAGACCACTACGCGCGCACCCCTCGGTCTTCTCAGACCCTTGCCCATTCCGGATCAGCCGGGAGACTCAGTGTCCATAGACTTCATGGACACCCAAGTCAAGAGCAGACATGGTAAGAGCCAAGTCATGGTCGTAGTTGACTGCTTTAGTAAGTACGCAGTTTTTGTTCCTTTGCCTGCAGAGGCACATACAGACTTAGTGATACAGAAGTTCTTTGACTTTTGGGTTCGTGAGAATGGAATCCCATTGTCAATAGTTAGCGATAGAGATAGTCGTTTCACCAGCCAGAACTTGCAAGAACTCATGAGAGTCTGCGGATCTAAGTTGTTAATGTCATTTGGCCGCCATCCAGAGACTAACGGTCAGACTGAACAAATAAATAAGATCCTACAACAAGTTTTGCGCATGTACATTAGGCCTGATCAGATCAACTAGGATGAGGTGTTGCCCAAGGTAGCTAGCGCATACAACAACCGCGTGCATCTGTCCACCTGTCGAACTCCCAATGAGCTGCACAAGTCCTTTAGGCCGCGCAGACCATTTGAAGGACTGAACCGAGATCAGATTCACAGGCTACCGCCCGGTACCAGGGAGTTCGCGATACAGCACAAGAAAGAACTAGCAACCGTTGTAGAGAACCTCAGGAAGGCCCAGCATAGAATGATAGAACAGGCTAATAAGCACCGTCACCCGTCGCAGTTTCAAGTAGGCGACTTAGTCTGGGTCAAGGCTAAAGAGTTTGCACCTGAGGAGAACATCTCGCAGAAGTTACTGCCTGCGTATAGAGGACCGTGGCCGGTTCTAGAAGTCAAGGGCGGAGAGGATGGACCATCCTACAGTATTGAGATTCCAGCACACCTCCACACCTACCCGGTGTTCCATGCCTCAAAGCTGTTGCCGTGTGTCACAAGCCGACAGTTCCCTTCAAGAAGGTCCATGATGCCCCCGGATATGGATGGGAGCTATGACATAGAAGGCATTGTAGATGAGGATATATTTAGAACAGGAGGTAGAGGTCGTCCCCAGAAGCAATACAAAGTCCGGTTTGCCTATCAGGAACCGGAAGACAGCCGCTGGTTCACAAGAACAGAACTTCTAGAAACAGCTCCCGAAATAGTCAGAGCTTATGAGCGTGACAGGAAGGGTAAAGGTCCCGCCTTGGACTAAAATGTTCTCAGAGGACCTCGAATTTAGGACGGCGGGAGTGAAACGGTTTTCACCTTTTTGCAGTAGCAGATGCAGTACCCAGGGCTCGATCCCTAGAGCTCACCCTCACCATGTACAGTATCTGTGTAGAACCCGAGAGTTGAACCTGTGACCTGTGTATTCGTAGACAGTTGGAAGGTCTGTTATAGGTCCATAGATAGCAGGGGTTCAATCTGTAGATCTATAGAGTAGAAGTCTTAGTGAGTTCCAGAAGCTTAGCTGTAGCCCTTCTAGAAGGTCAGCAAGTGGGCAAATGGTCAAGTGGCGAGGCAAGTGGTGGACTAAACTGCAGTGCAATCGCAGTACGACCTCGGTAGGATAGCAGTGAGTCCACAGTCAGTCAGCGGTAAGGTCCAGTCAGTCCCAGTCCGGTCCAGCAAGTACCACGGGGGACTSTGAGCACCATGGGCCGATGGCAAAGGGCAGACCAACGAGTTTCCGAAGTATAAATCAACAGGCAGCGCCCAGCCTTTCATTCATTCCTGCGTGAGCCATGCGGAAGYGCTGCCACARCKACTTGTGCAAGGAGGTCTGCAGTGAGCCYGGAGRACGCAGTSGGCGAGAGAGAAGGAGCTTAGTATAGCGATAGGGTAGAGGCAGCCATAGCTGCCATAGCTGTAGTTAGTGTGAAGTGCGTGTGTGTATGTGTGAGTGTTCAGAGTTACGCGTGTGGGATATCCAGGGAGATCCAGTGTATGTGAACAGTGAGTTGTTTGGGCGCTGAGTCGCCATA